TGAAGTAGTGGTGGATTTAGGTGTGGGGAGTTAAGGTGTGGTGAATTAATGTGTAGCGAACTCAGGTGGAGTAAGTTTTTAAGCGGAGGTGAGATGAGTTGAGGTGAGTTAAGTTAAGTTAAGGGGTTAAGTTAAGATAAGTTATCTCTATCCTTATCTTCATATTCATCTTCTTCTTCTTCCTCGTCTTGGTCTTCATCTTCTTCTTCATCTTTATCCTTTCCTTTATCCTGATCTAAATATGTCCATTCTTTTCTTCATTTACATATTCACCCCCACCATTGTTATTAGGTTAGGTATTTAAATTTTCCTTCCCTTTGTCTTTATATTTAGGTTTCTTTACTTTTATTTTAATTTCTGTATTTATCCCTTTCTTCTTCTCCATACTCAAAATTATCTTCATCCTTGTTTGAGGCTAATCTATTCATGTACATACATACATACATCTTATTCCTAAACTGCTGCTTAGCACGTTTCTTTAATTCACTATCAATATTAAAGCATACATTTAGGAGGCATTTCCGGCCCAACCATGTACATGTATGGCATTGGTATTGGTGTGACTTTTGAATTGATTTTTTCGCTCTATTTTAAACTAATTTGAAATTTTAAAAATTGCCTGCACATCAGCATCAAAATACCTTTCTAATGATATATAATTGTTTATACCTTAGAAGTATAGTTTAGCCGTAAAAGGGGTGTAAAGGAAACATGATTGCCTATTTATATAATTGATTTCGAATTAAATAAGTATCAAATGATATCTTATCCCGAATAAGTCACATTCCACCATTTTTAGAACTGTGTAAATATAATATATATTAACATACAACGCTTGACAGAAGAATTGACTGGTAAGTCCCAGATGGACATCTAACATCACGAAGTAGTTTTTGTGAAAATTGCATATAGAGGGTATTGAATATAAGCCCTCGATATGTGCATATGTATATCGACAACTTGAAGTCGCCTTGAAAAACGATATATAAACGTTAGATGTATACTTTTATAACTTTTGATCTGGTATATCGCTTGTTTACTTTGGTTACCGTATTATCTAGATATTAGCAACCAAAGTTGACAATTTTTAATTTAATTATTTGTGGCCAATTATTATTTGCTTAATAAATTTGCATACTAATCTAAAACTTTTTATTCAGATTTTTTAGAAAAGTACGCAGTTTTATAGCCCATTCAATTCTAGTGCAACAAAGTGCAAGTTTTAAGTTTCTAAAAAATCGCGTTGATTCTGATAATTTTTGATAATTGTCGAACATACTTTGTATGGAAGAACCTGAGTGAAAAAACATTGCCAAAAATCAACGCGCTTTTTTAGCAACTTCAAGCTTGCACTTAGTTGCACTAGAATTGAATGGGCTATAAAACTGCATACTTAGAATTTGTTTAAATCTGAATAGAAAGTTGCAAATTAGTATGCAAATTTATTGAATTTTCCTGAGTTCTGCACAAAGTTTAGAGATTTACTTTTTATGTTTTTTGGGGTAGGACGAACTATATTTTTATAAAAAATTATCGAAAATAAATAAGAATAAAAAACTTTGCAGATCTTGCGAAAAGTTCTCTGTGCCAATGCGTCCGGCACGGTTGTATCTGTGGACATTTGACAAAACAACCTCTTTCAAAATTACAAATTTTTCAGGAGAGCGAAAAAACATATGTACATTATATTGAAGGAAAAATGGTTATTAAAACTGGACACATATCAATAAACAACATTTTTCAGTAATTTTTTTTTTATTAAATATCATACTTTTTTTAAATAATTAATAAAAAATGCTTATTTATGCATCGTATGTCAAATGCTTTTTCAAAAAAAAAAATATCTTATCCCTTACAAGTGGTTTTGTCAAATTGAGTTTGAGTAAAATAATAAATGGGTTTTTTGCCTTGGGTCAACACAAGTTTATTTGAGAAAGCAAGTTTTTAAAATATGCATTTGGCAAAACAACTTCAATCGAAAGTGGTTGTTGTGTCAAATGCAAATCGCAGAATTTGCACAGACGATAAATAGAGACAAGTTCTTTTATTATAATTTTTCCGTTTGAAATTTGCTTAAATTCCAATTTATTCGAAAGAAGATCTTTTGTCAAATGCAATTTCGAAAATATAAAAAAGAAGTTCATTATGCCAACATCAAAAAAACATTTGCAGACAGCTCACACAAATTTTTTTTTTTGGTTGAAGGTATTCTACGTTTTTTCCATACAAAAGTATGTTCGACAATTTTCTTTTATATGGAGGACACTGCCAGCAAAAAAAAAATTGCCAAAAATTAACGGGATTTTATAGCAGCTTGAAATTTGCACTTCGTTATACTAGAATTAAATTCTGATTAAAAAGTTGTGCATACATGTGTATGTAATGTTGCATAGCAAGCCAATTAATTCAATCATTTGTTTTCTTTTGTTTTGTTAACTCCGTTAAATTAACTGATTTTATGAATTAATATGTAAATTTATTTGTAATTTTTTTGGAATCGGCATTGGCATCGGCATCGGTACCTGAAAAAAATTGTAATCGGTTGGATTATAGTCAAATGCCCACAGATATGATGTGATTATTATAGGGCAAATGGAGCTGTAGTTTTTATTTTATTTCAAATGAAGTTAATAAAAGCGATATAAAATAAATTTTTTTTTATTTCTTTTGTTATTTTCAGTAAACAAAATAAGTTTAGTTAGTAACGTTAGTAGAAGCTCTTTAGGTCTTCTTGCTTTTTTTGTATTATTTACTTATACATATAGCCATTTAATCTATCATGCAAACTTAAAAAAATTAATTTGTAGTTATTGTAACTCTGATAGTTGATGAGAGACAGATATTCAATACTTCTTCTGTAGATGCAATGAAGAGAAAGATAACAGAATCATTGAGAGACAACCTCCCCAAAAAATTATTGGAGAATCTCTGAGAACACAAATCGGAGCAGAAATTGCAAAGCGACTGCGCGCTCATAATTCATTTTCTCGACTCACATTCCACCGCGCTGGCAATGGATTAAAGTTCATACCTTCATACCTACATACATATGTACATATGGGCAATTGTGGGTGACTCCCATACCCACCCTTTATGCCATCAAGCACACAATGTGATTAAACTGACCCTGTATATGATACTCCCCCCAAGCTCGACTGTTTTTTATCAGCGAAAAATTATGATAAAGACAACGCCATTAACAAGGCCAAACACAAATTGAGTTGTTGTTGGCGATTGTCTATACATAGTCTGTTGCACGACAAACAAATCGTGACTATGTACATACATACATATGTATATTTATTTAGATATATCATATGCATGCATTCATGTGTGTAAGGATTCGTGACTGCTTTTGCTGACCGGTAAATTGTGAATGGGTTAACAAATCACTTTTTCATATGTATGTTTATACATATGTATATATGTATAACCCAGTTGCCTACAGGTCACAGCTGCTTTAAGGCTTGCCTAAGACGTTCCAAGGTCATGACTTTGAAGCGCAAGGCTATGCAGACAATCTGGTGATCTGCGTAATCCTGACGGTATTGAAGCAGGCGTATGTGACCCGAGACTGAAGCTTGCGGTGGCCTTGGGAACATTCACAAGCATCTTCCAAGCGGACGTTTATGCTACTAGTCTGTACGCAGTGATTAACCTTCGCAGGAGTTATCGAAGTGAGAGGATCCTTATACTAAGCGATAGTCAAGCGGCACCTAAGTCTCTTTCATCATGCTGATAACAACGCTAAAATAAAGGAAATGAATAAGCCGATCAGTTAGCCAGAATGGCTGCAGTGTCGATCCCGAAAGGACTTGAGCGCTTCCTTGCGGTAAAGCCTTACACGATAAAGGGTGTAGAAAGGAAAATACCAAACTGAGGGAAGTGCATTAGCGAAATAACATGGATCTTTGTCAAGCTAAGAGCCTACTAGGGGTGGCTATAATATAAAGAGATATAGACATTTGATAAATCTCTCCAAGGAGAGGCCAAGAACAATTACATGCATTTTGGTGGGTCATTGAAGGCTAAAAAGCCACTCTCATAAGCTGCTCTGATCAAGCGATCTATGTCGCTTTTGTGTCTACGCCGAAGAGACATCATTGCAACCTCCCCCTAGAGTGTGAGACCGTCTAACGGAGTAGGGAGAGGTCCTTAGAACATATATAGCCAAGAGAAGAGCAAATGCACTCCCTACCCCTGGGATCTATTCTAAAATGTTTAGAGGGTTTCGGGCTATTTATATCCACTCAACAGGGCTGCATGACGAAAACTTGGAAACTCTCTCCCAAAATGATCTACAAGTCATTTAATACAGTTGTGAAGCCAGTAGTCACTTCCGCGTCACTGGCACCGTGGGCTAACAGGGCGATTCTCGCTAAGTTAGTTGCAAGTAAGATAATTGAAAGACAGTAGGCAAGGTGGTTTTAAAGGATTTTGTTTATTCTGACACGAAAGTCTTACTAAAAAAGCTACCTTACCAACTTTTATGGTGAAAAGCTCTTGTGGCAGAAAGCAATTTTATATAACTTTGCTAGTTAGCCATTCGAGAGATCCGAGGTGGAGTTCCTGGCCAGCGGATTTTTTTCTACTTACTTTTTTTATATATTATTGTTTGAATTTTTAGATTTTTTTTAATGTATGAATATATTTCTTCAATTTAATTTAATTTTTAGAAACTTATTTTAGGTATTTTTCTTTTGATTTAATTTTTAGATTTTATATTTATTTTTATATTTTTTTGTTTTTTAATTTAATATTTAGATTTAAATGTTTTAAAAA